GTAGTCGCCCCCTGACGGAAGGTATCAATGGTGTCTGTCATAACAAAGGATCTCAGTTGATTTATGCAATATTCAGGCCGATCTCCAGGACTGGTAGGCTGAGAAGGGTGGCTAGTGTATAACTTGAGCTGGCTATCGCTATAAATTGATGTGATGGTATAAGCATTATTATCGTGCACTGGTTCGTCTTCCCTATATGACTGCAGACTGTGCATGCCCTGAGCGCCTAGCGCACCGTTGTAGCAAGCCTGTTGTCTAGCTACTGCAGCAGTTCTATTTAGCCCTTTAGCCTCTAAGAAGAAGTTTGGCGCGAGAGGAAGGTTATCCTGCGTTGAAGGGATGATATGGCCGCTTAGCTCATCACGGACTCGTCGATTAAGCTGCTCAGGGCATGCGCTGTAGTAGAGGTCTGGTTTAGCCGTTATTAGCATGTCGTTTGTTAGAGGTGTAAGGTTTGTGAAAAGAATGTCTCCTTTAACGTATTTACTATCTTTTATCTTGCCTTTAATAATTAGAATTACTGTTTTGATTGCTTTATTCTCTTTAGAGACATGTACATCTGCTTCCTAAAACTCTTCAAAGTTTTTATTAGAAAACTGTAATAGTAATAAAGAGGGCTAAGGTTATATTAAAATTTCGTTAATCTCTTTTAAATTATCCGGCTTTAGTAAGACTTAACTATTAGAATACTTGTATTTATTAGAGTAAATACTACTATTAATAAGTTTTTATTAAAAGTTACAACTATAAGGCTTACTACTCTCTATTATTTTAATATTTATAATATTTATAATTAATCTAGTATTTAAAGCAAATATTAAACTCTGTTTTCGGCTTTAAGAACTAGACTAGCTTAAGCTTATTATGTAATTAAAAAGATTAATAAGTTTTGGTAACTAGAGAGCATTAATTTTAATGCTTATTAGTAGATATCTTGTAATACTTATGCCCTTTAGATCTAAGAGGTCTAGACCACTATTTCTAGCAAATCGCTTTATGTCTTTTGAAGTCCCTAGTTTACAGTAACAGAGAAAGTCAGAGGCGAATTAAATAATGCAGCGTTTTCTCTTTAGCTTAACTAGGAATTTTTATGTAATAAGCCGGCGAGCTTATTGATATTATGAACAAGGTATGCTTGAAGCAGATCGACTATTCCTTTGATTTAACTCTCTTAGCGCGCCTCTAGTTAATCAGGTCTTTAATAGGTTGTCCTAAAACACTAATGTTAGTTGAGATCTAGTGGTAGGATGATTAAGCTTCTGCCTCTTTAATTAAGGTTGTGATGTTCCGTTTAGTTAAAGTGCATACAGCTCTGTACGTTAACGCTTATATGGATTAGAAAGTGGTAATTCGGGCATATAGCAAACATTAATAACAGGTTTGTGATAGAGGTTAAGGGCTAGTAAAGAGCAGCGGTTGTATCCTGTATTAGTTGCCATACCCCTTAATGCTGATGATTAGAATTCAAAGATTCTGTACTGATAGGTCTTAGTATTCACTCTGAATCACCGCGCGAAGACTAGGTGACCAGTAGCTAACTATACAGTCAAAGAAAGCCAATTATATATCGGAGCGTTAACGACTGGCTAGGTTAGTTGATTAGTAGCAGCATAAGTCTTTAACAAGGAGTGATGCGCTATGCACTATTAGAAATGAGTTAGGGCTAGACGCATGCCTCTGGGCCTTAGCGGTGGCAGATAAGTTCCTTTAACTATCTAATAATATTCAGCCTATTGATACCTACCTGCCCAGACTGTAGGCATCACTATTAATTTGTTAAGTTACAGATTCTAGAATAAGGAGAACGAGATCAAGATTAAATAAACCTGTAGCAATAAAAAAGGCTAAGAACTATAATGCGTTAAGCTATCCCTAAAATCAAGGTCTTTCTTTATAGTAGAGCTCGCCCTTGCTAACAATTATAAGATGATTTATTACATACTTACCCTAAAGGCATATTAGCTAGCAGTGTCAGGATCTCTCAAAGGCTAAGATAAAGTAATTGCCTCCTAACCCTCTTGAATAGATTTACACACCTTCTTTATTATAACTGCACTTGATGTTACTACTCTTAAGACTAAATAGCTCTGTAATACAGGCCTCAAATTAGTCAGCCTGGCAAGATGGAATTAACACCTATACATTTAGCGCACCTGTATAGATTAGGTTAGCTGATTACAGGTTGAAGTCCTTTTTATGAAAACTAGTGTAGGATCTGCGTGAACAGATATAAATATATAAAGAGTATATGCCTGCGAATTGTTGCTTAGTACTTAATAATTAAGGCGTTATTTTTAGTACTGTAAACTGAAGTCTAATTGCTCTTTGTTGTACCTTTATATACGCCTCTATTATTAAATAGTGAAATACTGTATTAAGGTCATCATATAGGTATTTCTCTAACGCTTTAGCAGGATTTCGCTTGATATCATTATTAATTTAAGAATTAAAAAACTCCGGGATTATAAATGCATTTATAGTCTTACATAACTGTTTAACAATTATATCCATTATAAAATAGTAATTTGGCGTTTCTCTATAGCGCTATAGACACTATTCCTAATGGTCTCTAAATGTGATGGCCTACTGTTAGACAGTACGTATGCCAGCTTTCAGCATCCTCGTTAGGAACTTCTTAAACCTATTAGCAGAAAAAGTGATGCTTCCTAGTGCAATTCTATTATTATAGTCAAACATTATTGCTTGTAGCTTGTTGGATAGGATAGCAAAGAGAGCAAGACGGTAAACTCTATTACAGGGGGCATGAAAGTAATGTTAGTCTGGTGTTAGGAGTAGCTAGTTCTTATTACGAGAACATAGTGTCGTGATTTGTTGTTGCTACAAACGTCTTGGCGTTAATCAGGCTGTTGAGTTGCTTCTTAGCAAGATCTTCTATTCGACCTTTTAGGACCCACCTAGTAGCGGCTTGATAGTGTCTGCTAATTAGATGCAGCTGGTTTCGAGGCATAAGGGTCTCATGAATTCTTTTCTGTGTATTATTATTCGAGGTATATGCGACTATACTGATACTTATAAGAGTGATTTATAGCAAAAATATACAGCAACCACTGCGGCAGCATATACAAAAGAGCTTCTATTATACATATCAGCAGTAGAGACGTCAAGTAAGAAGCCAATTGACCAGGTCTTAGGTGAGTGATAGATGTAGGCTATTAGGATAAGCATATACTCTACATCTAAATTGCATACATTTCCTTATATAAAGACTAATCCTCTTCAAACCTGGTTTGACTGATTAGATCGCCTGTAATACTAATTTGTAGTCTAGATGTAATAAAAGAACATGTTTAAGTAATAAGCGATTATTACTATAAGTAAGAGATATAATATTAGAATAACTAAGACTAGAAATACTATATTACTTTTAAAATAAATAATTATAAGCAGTAGAAGAATATTAATATTAATTAGACTATTAATATATATTAGTAAGTCTTTAAAAATAAGAAATATATTAAGTAGCATTAAAGCAGCACTAATAGCCTTCTGTAAATATTAGCTAATCTAAATTATAAAAAGTTAGTCCTCTTAAAATTTTTAATTAACTATAAGCTTCAAAACACTCTAACATATACAGTATACTACTTCTTTTTTAAGGACAATAAGCGGCAGGACAAATTAAACATTACGTTATACGCTCTGCTCCATCAACTCTTTGACCGCTAGCGTCATATTTTTTGCTATATGACTCCCGCCTATAAGAAAAATAGTAATAAGCTGTGTTAAGAAAAGAGCGAACTGTAGCAGACACTTCTCGCTATAACCACTGACCCTAAGGCGCCTAATATGACCTGTATTCTTAATGCGCTAGATGAGTGTTGAGACAATGACTAGTAGCGACTTATTAATATGTTGTCCTAATTTTATATAAACTTATTATCATCTTATCAGCAAAACAACTAATTAAAGTTTCTAGTTATAAATCAACTATATAATAATATCTAGCAAATATTCCAAAAAACAATATCATCTCTGCTAATAATAAGATTGCATAAAGAGGATAAAAATAAACAGATTCAGAAGGAAATTAATATAATAATCAGAGAAAGAGTCTTTAAACTAATAGAAGAGTTATTACTTAAACTAAAGATAAAGACCTAACTAAAGCAAAAGCTTTTATAAATAAAACATTATATATATTTATAGCTTTATCTTGCTATTAGTTATATCTATAAAATATATAAAGATAGTCTATAACTAGATAATAAATTAATTAAGTCACTTCTATTTTTTGTTAAAACTATATACAAAAAGATCTTAAGAAAAATTATTTAAGGGGTATAAGAAATAATAAAAATAATCTTATAAATTGTAGTCAGTATATGCTATTTACTAACTATTAGTAAGATAACTTTAGCTCTTAATATTACTATATTATTACATCTTAAATTAATAACTAAATTTTTAATTAATAAAAATTACTTTAAATAAAATATTTATTATTAATATAAGTTATTTATATTTATTATTTATTCTAAGATTTATCTTATTTATTAGAGATAGTAAAGGAGTATTTAATTTATAAGAATAATATAATTAGAACTAAGTAAAAGCATTATTTTATTATTACTAATACTAAACTATATATAAGTTAAATATATGTCTAATTCCTTTTATTAAAATACTTAGAAAGGAAAGTCTTATATAAATTTATTATAAATAGCTAATAAGATTTTCATAATAAGATACAGAACAAGAGCAACAAAAACGTTATAAAAGACTTCCTGTTATACTCAGCTAAACATTAGCCAGCCCATCTATAAAGATCAGAAATTAGAGAGAATAATTCCCTTTTGACTGAAGTATATCATTTATATGATACAACCAGTAAACGGTTTCTGCTGTGGTTTCGATTATTTTAGTTTATTACAGAACCTTACCAAGATCAACCAGACATGAATGAGCTCCAACTAGCGGCGTTCATTAGGCATGACAAAGTAATGAGAACGATTTTGGTCGATGAAAACGTTGATATCAATATGACTGACCGAGACGGCAGCACGGCATTGATGTGGGCATCACTCAGAGGTCACGAGAAGGTGGTGCAGATGCTGCTGGACCGGGGCGCCGAGGTCAATGCTCAAGGTGGATACTATGGCAACCCACTGCAGGTGGCATCATTACGAGGTGACGAGAAGGTGGTGCAGATGCTGCTGGACCGGGGCGCCGAGGTCAATGCTCAAGGTGGAGGGTATGGCAACGCACTACAGGCGGCATCATCTAGAGGTCACGAGAAGGTGGTGCAGATACTGTTGGACCGGGGCGCCGAGATCAACGCTCAAGGTGAGTTATATGGCAACCCACTACAGGTGGCATCAGAGGGAGGACACGAGAAGGTGGTGCAGATTTTGCGGAAACGAAAACATCCAACCATTGTGGACATGTAGATCAAGAAGCGACGAATCCAGATTGTCTCTGAATAAGCGTCAGTAGATTAAATGTTGATATGCATGCGAGAGTATTTTGATTCTCCTGCCATTTCTATCCTCGCTGCCTTCATTAGCTACCTTATTTAGAATATAAGCGTTGGTAACAGCTGCATCGATAAGGAAGAAGAATAGAGGGAACCAATTACGCTTGTGGTGATGCCGAGATGTTATGTAGAAGCTATTCTGCTTGCATGGTTATCCGTGCCGCCCATCTCCTTGTTATAGCGATCAAGAGGATACAGCTTCCTTAGAAATGGCCTCATAGAGGGCGCAGAGGGCGCAGGCAGAGCAAAGGGCGTAGAACTTATAGAGTTAGCAAAATTCGTAGAATTCGCTAAATTCGCAGAAGACGCAGAACTCGTAGAGGGCGCAGAAAACGTAAAATTCGCAGAGCATATAAGCAGCGTTAAATTGACAGAAAACGCAGAATTTGCAGAACTCACTGAATTCGCAGAATCAAGAGATTCTGCAAATTTGGCGTATTTCAAAGAAGCACTAGAGCGTTTAATGGCATCAAAATAGACGTATTCGTCAACAAGAGAGTCATATACTGTAGCTACGCCGACCAAGGCAAGCTGGCCGAGGCGGAGGCGATGTACACTCGAGCGCTGCAAGGCAGTGAGGAGGCACTTGGACCGAAGCACACGTCGACACTCTTAACGGTTAACAACCTAGGCCTACTCTACGCCTACGGCGGACCATTAGATCCAAACGGCCAAAATTCAAATTTTCAACTCCGCAGCAGGACCAGGGAATGGCCCACCAAAATCGTATGGGGGATTCCAGAAACTTGCTTGCCGTATGATATTTGTGCATAGAGAGTACTAAATGATTGAATTGCCTAACTGAGCTTCTAGATAGCCACCCTTGGTGTTGCGTAATGATCGCGGCCACCGACAGGGCCGCAGGAGGGGTTGCAGCTCCTCCCCTCAAGTTGTATTCTTCGTCTTCTTCTTTTGACGTAGCACTGGCGGGCTATGGAAGTAGTCATGAGTCTTATTATTACTCTTCTTCTTCTTCTTCTCTCTTTGCTCTTCCTTCTTCTTCTCCTCCTCCTGCTCCTCTTCCTGAGTGGGTATATTCTTCTTCTTGCCCTTCTTCGGAGTTGAGGGTTGAAGAAGAGCATCAGTCTCTTTAAATGCTTGATCCAGCTCTATAGTAGATTGATCGAAGGAGTCGTCAGTACCTGAATGAGCTCGTTTATGAGATTCAGCCGCAGAAGAAGACTCTGGCTCCACTGTAAGAGGTCTCTTGAACTTAAGAATTCGCTATAATGTAGATTCTGTAATAGGAACAAGCTTGATATTCTTCCCTTCTTGATTATCTCCTTTTTGATATTAATAAAGTCTTCATCAGATAGCTCCTTCTTTAGTTGTCTAAGAGTTTTAAGCTCTATTTGTTTAATAATAATATAGATAATATACTCCTTATTAATAATGCTAAAGTACTCCATCGCCTCTTTGACTATACAGGCGTTATCTACGCTTACTAGTAGCTCAACCAGGGTCTATTTAGGCTCTACATACTTTACAAGATAAAGCTTATCCTTATTATTCTGCTTAATAGTTGTTCTCTATTGTCTAGATCTGTGATTACTCTATTTTGAAGCCTAAAAGAGACTCTTTTTAATAATTAATAGTCTATCTGTTCTTTATTCTCTTATATTATATATTATTAGATTATTATTATTATTTAATAGGTTTTAGTTATAAGCTTGTTATTTATATAATTTAGAAGAATTAAAATATTTGCTTAGGGTTATATAGAGGAGGAGCGCTAAGTCTTTTGTATTATTATCTATTATATAAGCTTAGTAATAAAATATTAAGTATATTATTAAAAACACTATATTTGAGAGATTTATATATATTTATTACTAGTAGTAAAAATAGCCTTTATCTTTTTTAATAATTATATTAGTAAATTATTAAGCAGTTCTATTATTTCTTACGGCTATATATTAGAGATAGGTTACTTATAAGCTAGATTATAAAGATGATAATAAGAGTACTCTTTAAGATTAGTAAAATCATTATAAGAAGCTCTATTAACGTTATAAAACAGGAGCCACAGGCGCTATAACATAGTACAGAGGTTATATAAAGTTTTAAAGCTAATAATATAGATATTCTGCTAATAATTATAAGTATAGAATTTGCTTACTACTTTATTATTAATTCTAAGCCCTCTTGCTCTTTACAAAGTTTTCTCTCATAAATTCCGAGTCCTCTTACCCTTTACAAAGTTTTCTCTCGTTATTTCTGAGCCCTCTCGCCCTTTACGAAGTTCTCTTTTATTAATAGTTATTATGCCTTACATAAAGATTAATCTGGATTTGTACAAAGATAAGATACTTGCATTAATATCTCTTAAGAAGTCGAACACAAATATTATGTAATATCTATATAACTTATATTATCTTTAGTTAGCTAATCATACCCTTTAGAGATGTCTTAAGGAATAAAATATCTTTATACAAAATAGACTTAAGATACGCCAGCTTTATAAGATCAAATAATTACCCTTTTCTTTAATAGCCTTAATAATAACTAGCTCTATTATATTCTTTAAACAAAAGGTTATTATAATGGCTCGAAACTAAAACAAGTCAATAGTCTATAGATTGCTAAAACGTAAGCTGAGGAGTCTATCTACAGTGCGGCTAGCGCTCTACTCTATATACTCCTTTATCGAACACAAGGGGGGCTACTAGTTAACCTGCACAGAGGATCTGACGGAGTATCTGCAGGGCCAGAAGCGGTAGCTTCCCTCTAGAGGAGATTATACTTTCCTAAAGGGGTCGTATTAATCTCCGATTCTATAGTACACTCGTACAGGGAGCCACGTGCTGTACGGATAGCTCTATCAGCGACATAATAGCTTGATGGCAAGAGTTCCGCGTGTTATTATGGATACGCTATCAGCGCTGTCATCTGAGTGCTGCTATCTAAGTGCGTGGCTGGTCTGTATATTCCCTATGCTATAGCAGAGGAGATACTCTATCTATTATACTATCCCTCCCTTCTAAAAAATTAATTACCCTTAATTAAGAGTATAAGAAAATAAGCTTACTCTTCCTAAATTTTGTTGCCAAGCCTATTAACTTCCTAATTAGATTAGTCTAAAATCTAGCTATATATATATAGCTAAATTTATTATATAACGTTTTTATTAGATTTTCCTGTACTTAGCTTTAATTTAACTAATTAGATACTCTTTTTATTAGGTGCCTTTTGAAATAGTCTCTAAGTAGGTCCTTAGAGTCCTTAAAGTTTGTAATAAGGTAGTAGATTAGGTCCTCTAATCAACCTACCTACTTGGCTCGTACCTTTAAGGCCTTACTCACTTGCTTGACATCAACTATGTCCTTAACCTCTCACGCCTCCTCTCCTTCTGTTTCCACTAGCAAAGGCTGTGGGTATTCCTGGCTTGATAAGGGGTTAGCAGGGTCTTTAGTAAGCAGTAATGTGTAGAACATGTTGTAAATCTATATTAATAAGGGTAGCTCTAGACGAAAGCTTTGCCTAAGTCTCTTTATAACAGGGAATAGTCTAATTCATTTCGAATCTAGCTTCTTATAAAGTCTTATTATATTAATATTCTTTGTTAATAATCAGATCTTGTCTTCTTCTTTAAAATTGATTTCCTAGTAGTGTTTATTCGCCTGCTTTTGCTGTCACTTTTATATAATCTTTAAGTACTTTTATACCTACTTTTAAACCTTTTTTATTAGCTTTATTAAAATCTTAGTCTTCCTTAAAGCTATATATTTCTTTATTATCTTTATAGACTTAAGCTTATTAAAACTTATTCTTAACTAATATCTATATATAATTATAAATAGTAATAGTTATATAGACTTAGATACTATTATATTTATAGCAAATTTAGTGCTTAAAAAAAGATTATTCTAATTATTTTATATAAAATCTATATAAGTTTTTAAGTATTATTTTATTTTTATATTCAAGACTTTTATCTAGTTATTTATTTATAAATAGTAAGC